CCTCTCCTCCTTCAAATACCTCTTCAAACTCCACTTATTCCAGGTGTTTTTACTGTCATATGTTGATCTTCTCACACAATCGCTTTGCAATGTCTCTTTCTTGACCTGTTGTCCCATGATCTCTCTTACCTTGAATTGTAAACTCTTCAGGGTAGGGAATGCACCTTGTTCTAAGTTTGTAATGTAATTACCAAACAATTTATTTTTCATATTTTTATGACAATAGTACCCAGAGCCTCATTGTGCTAGGTGCTATGTAAAGATATAGTAAGACACTCCCCATGCCAAAATTCTTCCAATCTAAGAATTGGTTAATAATTGCAATTTGTAATTAATGAATCCAGCTGTTTATTAAATTCAAGTTGGATTTGAGATTCCACAAAGATGTTCTGGCAGACTCAGGAAAAATTGGCTTTCTAATGGCATATGGTACAATATATCCTTGAGCTCCTAATCGTCTAAGAGAAGTTCAAGTCCAATTGTTCAGTCTGAATGTCGGTCACGTAATTTTATAAAGCTAGTGCTCCCAAGCCAGACCACATGGCCAGTGTTAAAGTATAATGATGTTGTCTGGATCTGCAAAGAACAAGAGATCCAAAGGTGATGATACAACTGCAAGATTCATCTTGAGCTGTGAATTCAGGACCTGTTCATTAAAGCTGCATACAGTGAACTGAGTATCCTGTACAACCAGCACTTGATTGAATAAGGTGAAATAATACAATGAACTGAAGAATACTTAAAAAAAAAAAGTGTGATAGGGAGCCTATGTGAATTCATATAATGGATGTTCTTTAGCAGTCCTTGTTCAGTCACATACATTTCTGAGTTCTCTTGACCAACCTACTGGAGTTTTACCAAGTTGTTAGTTTAGTAATTAGGTTACTGTGTACATCATGTGCACAAGATGTATTCTGCACAGGATGTATGTTTAAGATGTCCCTTTGACTCTTCCAATCGTCTGCTATGTCTGTTAGCTGAGAATACTTGAGTGTATAGGTGACATGATCCGGTAGCCTTGATGATCCTATAATCTCCCCTTTAAGCAGACTTTAGGTCATTGTTTACAATAGGATAAAGAAGGATAAGAATAAGGGAGGATAGGACTGGATGGGTTAATATCTACAGTCTTTAAATGAGCCATTTTATGTATATTTGCCTTAGTTTCTGTGATACTATAGTTGAAATTAATTTGAATATCACATCTAAAGGGTCCAGACTGGGACTCCAGATCTGAGCTATGGGTAAATCTGAATTTTGATCTGATTCTGGATCTGAACTTCAATACTTGAGCACAGCTCTGATCTCACTGAACATTTCTTTCAATCTTTACATCTGAAGCTCCCATTCCTGATATCATCCTTGCCTCACAATATTGATTACAGGAAAGCCATAATGCCTGTGCATTGCTGTAGTTTGTTTTCATAAACTGAGGGCTTCTTGTTTAAAAGACCTAAACTTGCTCTACCAACTAGGACTTCAGTCCAACAAAAGATTTAAACATGTTACATGCTTAACTCTAAGCACATGACTATTTCTGTTAACTTAAATGTAAGCATTCATGTGTTCAAGTCCTTTACTGGATCAGGGTTTAAGTGTGCTAGCTTACATAATATTCATTTCATCCACCACTAAACTGTTGCCACTGGTAAGGTGGACTGCAGCAGCTGTTTAACACTGTGCAGCATCACTAGCCACCGGTTTAGGACAGAAAGTGAAGAGGAATTTAAGGAACCAGACTGTATTAATTACCACACTTGAACTTTGGCTAGGACACTGGGGCTAATGCTCCTATTCTTGTGAAGAGTGAAGAGTGCTCTGTGCTAGTCAGAGCCTCAGTTATATACCTCATCCAAAGGACAGTACTTTCAGCAGCATAATGCCTGCCAATACTGTGCTGGGACACTGTTTCTGTATTTATGTAGAGGGAAGAGAGCCACATACTGAATCATTAATCACTTTTCTTCCATTACCCTGGATTCTCCTTGGTGATCTCCCTGCCACATAATAGACACACCTGACTCTCCTTCACTTGTGAGGCGTGATGAAGTCACTGCCTGAGGTGCTATGACTCATCTAACAATAGACTGAATAATAGAAAAGACCTGGCAGTTTCCTGCTCTCTTCTTCCTACATGCCCATGGATCTATGTGCCACGCCCACTAGCACCAATTTTCCTTGCTTGCATAGGTGTAAGTCATGCCCTTCATTTTAGTCTAAAATCAGTTTGTAGGACTCAACATGTTAATTAGTGTCAATTGTGCCTGATTCTGGAAATTTCCACAATTTCCAACTGCATCTGGCTCAGAGATTCTTTGCCCTTCTGCCTTGGGGCTGTGATCTGCCCCTCCATCTCCTTTAATTATCTTCCCCCCCACACACACACTTTTTTCCTTTTATTCCCCCTCCCCTTTATTTATTTATTTTTAAAACTCATCAGATTTTCTCAGATGATGTCAGCTTGCTTGATGCAGTAGAAAACACAGTTCAGGTTCCAGTTCCCCTGGCCTTTGTACAAGTCTCAAGGCAATTCCAGCTTCGACCCTCTTGGACTGCTCCTGATAGGCATCCATGACCCTAACAGCAGCTGTGCAGGTGCAGGAAGGAACCATCAATTGCTTTAGCATCTCCTCTTTCCTCTCCATCCATTCATCTGCTCCTCACCCTGTTGCAAGACAGGAGGCATCGTGGTATACACACACACACCCCTCTTTATTCTACTGGAGCACACTGGCATAATTATGAACGTATATGATTGCAACAGGCATTTGGAAAGAGTTTACGCTGTGTGCAAAATGCTAAAAAGTTTGTTTTACCATTTTAAAAACACTATGCAGCACAAACCAGCTTTACCGTGTCAACGATATTATAACTTGGCAATATTATATATTTTTTTAAGCATTGTAGGGTTAGGAGCATGCTGGTCCCTAGAACTTGTTTTATAAATAATGCCTTATTTTACTATCTAGTTCTGATAGGCCTCCGTGCCTTCCCACAATTCCACCCAAAGGGTAGAAAAGTTATCTCACAATTGATAGGCATTGCGTACCCCTTGGTTCTTTGTGTTGAGATGCTCTAGGATTCTTTCCCTGTCAACTGTGGGAGAACTTGTGTATTCGTTTGGGGGGAAACTATGGGAAGGCATTGGAGGACTATCAGCATTTAAATGATTTTGCCTATGTCCTCATTGCAAAATAGGCAGGCTCCAACCCACCATAAGGGGATTAGTCCTGCTTGGAGCAGGGGGCTGGACTAGATGACCTCCTGAGGTCTCTTCCAAGCCTGATAGTCTATGATTCTATGATTTTTAAAGTGGAGCCTCGGCTCTAACCCCTGACACCTGAGTAAGCTAACCCAGGCTTAAAGCACCTCCAAACCTATGGATGGTAGGGAGCGGTAAGGCTAAAACCTCAGTAACAGCCTCAGTTAACTGTGTAGTGTAAACCCCATGTGTGCGAGAGCATATTACCCTCCACTGGTTGGCTACGCTAAAAAAGATATCCTACGTGTGTTTCTATAGGTGACAGCTAACAGAGATCTTTGTTTTAGCTTAAGTGGTAGTAGCCTCATGCTTTTGGAGCTAAAGTAACAGAGCTTTTATATCAGCTTAATAGGTCTATGAAATTTTATATTAGTGAGGGGAGAATATCACCATTTTTAAGGTTCCAGTCACAGTCCAATGTTAAGGCTGATTTAATCTTCCTTGTAACAATCACTTTCTCTCTCTATTGCCCACTTCCCTAGTCCCCAAGAAAGACAGAAATCTTAATGCTTTCAAATAATTAGGATTAAGTCTCACTGGCAACTGGAATGTTTTCTGAACATTTTGATTAAACTGAGTAAGTATCTTTGAGTTTAAAACATTTTAAACTGTGTCCAGTTTGAAAATTTTGCATTTTCTAATATCAGGGGGTAGCCGTGTTAGTCTGTATCTACAAAAACAACAAGGAGTCTGGTGGCACCTTAAAGACTAACAGATTTATTTGGGCATAAGCTTTTGTGGGTAAAAACCTCACCTCTTTAGATGCATCTGAAGCAAGGCGG